GGGGGGGGGTAGAAATATTAACAAAATTGATATCACAAGCCAATGGCTGTTTTCTGTTTTAAACAAGCAGAATTACGGATGTTGAAAGGTAGGTATGTTTTGGCTTTTTCAGCCTTTCTTACAACTGTTCCATCACGCAAGGGCTCCTTATATTGTCACGACATATCAGACACCACCATAAAGTCCCTGCTTTTTTTTCTATACTTTTTTTTAATAGCTCCGGTTTTCTTCATCTAATCGTCATGAAATTTTCACTTAAGGAAGGGAAGATAGCATAACACTATAGGAAATGTTAAATGCTGTTGAATTTTCAACAGATGGAATAGATTTTTATTGGTGGTGTCTCAAGTGTGGGCTTTCAGTGACTATTCTTGAAAACTTGATTACAACCTCAAGAAAAAATTAATTTGAAAATGTTTGTTCCATTAAGGAAAACTTCAACAGCCTATTTGTAGAACTACTGTTTGCTAACATGCATGCAAAATGACAACCTATTTTCATTGAGACTAAGTAATGTATTAACTGTATAGGACATGTCAGCAAAGTTCAATTGTGGCTGCCGTCTCCCTGGCACGAAACTTTTTTTTCTCAAATTTGATTTCAGATTTGAAGATAGCTTACTATGCTCGTTATATGTGTGAAATTTAGTAAAATTTGATCTACAAATAAGCAAGATAGCCCTGAGCTGTATCTCCCACCTCTTTTCCCTTAAAAATAGATGTCAGTATTTTAGAGAAGCAGTAAAATATTAAAACTTTAGAAACTACTGTCCATTTTTGTAGTAGTCCTTACTCAGAATATTATGTTGGTAGCATTAAAAAAACAATGGGGAGGCTCGGTCCAGAGGTTATAGAGGTTTTCGCCTCTCATTCAATAGATCCCGGGTTCAAATCCGCATAGAGGCAGAAAAAATTCTTCTCTAAAATGTTCTCCTTTCACATCCTTTCCTGCTCTCTAACAATGTTCTGTCGTGTTATGGTAGGAAGGATCTACACCTAACCTTCTCGGACAAGGGCAAAAATTCTCGGAGGTCCGGTGTGCAAGTTGCGCACGTTAGAGATCCCTTGGAGGTCCAAAATGGATAAGAGTAGGCTTCGGCCGCCACCCTGGCCAATTTCAAAATTTCCTACAAACTGAAAATGTTTGGTGTGTCCCGCGTGCTCATATGACCCTATGCAGTTGTGAGCGCGTAAAACACATACCAAAAAATATATAAAATAATGACCCAGTAAATGAATAAAAGATAATAATGTTGAATTGGTTTCATAACCGCATTTCATAATATTATTCGGTGAGCTTGGCTCTGTTGTAGCTATTCTAAAAATTATCCCTTTAAAGTAAAGTAATGGAACCAAATGGGCGCACTTTAATTTTATCACAGCACTCCTCAACATGTTGGGTGTTGCAGAATTATCTATACTCTCATGAAAGAGAATACGAACAGCAACATTAGCTTTGTTAATAATTCTTAATACCTTCTATGTCCGTACAAAAATACATTTCCAGGTGACTTTTACTAAAACCACGTTGATACAGTTACACAATAATATGTAAATCTTTAGTTTTCTAGGACTCTCGAGCCAGTGAACTTTCAAACTTTTGCTGCCATTTTCTTGCTAATTTTTACGTCTGAAACCTGACAACCCCCACCTCGTTCAATCTCTGATATCTCGGCTTCTATTCTAGATAAATGGGCATTTTCTTTTCACCAAAAGCGAGAAGAATAAATAAGCTTTCAAATGTTACCACGAGCTCAAAACATGACGAGCGCCTGATTTCACCGCGTCATGTCACATTGATCTATTTATCTATTTGACCAAAAAGAACGAATCAGCTGGGTCACATACAACAATAAAGTTTTGTTCTTGGGCGATTAGATAAACTATGTATTGCTGACTTCTGTCCTGCTTCAAATACAGCTCTTTACTTCCCATTTATCGCATGTGGTGTAACAGTTAAGCTGTCCGTTGTTGCATGTAAAAGACGAGGGCTTCATTTCCGAGAGCGGGATGATATTATATGTGTCACCTCGTAGTGGAATCAGGCGCTCATCAATTATTAGGCATATGAGGTTATTGGTATCATCGAAAAGCCTTTTCGTTTGTCTTACTTTTTGGTTCAAAACAAATCCTACCCATCTATCTGGAAAAGAAGTCAAAATATTTGCGATTAAAGGAGGTCAGGGTCATCTGGTTTCAGAGGTAAATTACGAGAAGTTTGGTAACTTCCAAAACCCGAGAGTCTTTGGAAACTGAGAATTCTTTATTTGTGTGTTTTTAGTAAGATCCATAAAAAATGTGTTTTAAAAAGACATAAAATGTGTTGAGCAAAACGAGAAACCAAATTTTTATATAATTGCTCACCGGCCCAAAAAATGCCGATTTGGTTCACTCCATTATTTTCACCAGCGCCTGATTTCACCACGATTCCTCACACATTTTATTTTATGGAGTATCTCCGCCGATCTGCTGGGATGTTGTGTCCCATTCAGCCAGTCCCC